GTCCTCCTGACTTCAGGGCTGGTGCTCTATACACTGCGCCACTTAGCTGCCCCAAGACTGAATTCTTAAGGAAGATTTTTCAGACTCCCTTTCAGCTATCATAACTACCTGCTAAAGCATCTGATTCCATTTTTTTTTTAAAGACAATCAAGGTTAAGTGACTTGCCCAGGGTCACACAATTATTAAGTATTTGAGGCCAGATTTGAACTCAGCTCCTCCTGACTCCAGGGCCAGTGCTCTATTCACTGCACCACCTAGCTGCCCCATTTCATTCCATTTTAAGACAGTTTTAATTGTTAAGTAGTTTCCCCTTACATCAAGCAGATGTCTGCCTTTTTTTTTTTTTTAAATAACTGTACCCTGCTGAAACTAAGAGCCTAATTTCTCATCTTTCTTCTACCCCCTATAGGCAGGGATGTGCTGGTAAATATTTAAGAATCAGCTCACAAAGAAAAAAAAAGAGTACACCCTACACACTTTTAAGTCTAATCTGCATTAACATCTCCTCTATCACTTTCTGAAATCTAGACAATAAACAAAATAAATCAAGCCCTGATTTATAGCATTTGCTGATTTTCAAGGTATAAACGCTCACACTGAAAATTTAACAATTGGGTTTTGGGAGGCAGTTCAAGCTGGATCCAGCATACCTCAGCCTATAAGATCTTTAAGAATTTGAAGACATTGACCATTCCCTCACCACTCCTAAGGTCAGAGTACAAAGTGGCTCTCACTTCCTTAATTCTGAATAATGTACTTTCACAAACTGTAGCTTAAGATATTACATTTATGTTCTCTGGCTCTCGGGCCACATTGTTGAATCATATTGAGCTTGCAATCCAATATAACACCCAGATCTGGGTGGCTGTGCTTCCCTCATCATGAATTCATGCAGTTAATTTTTTGAACCCAAGTGAAGTACTTTACATTTAAATCTAATTAAATTTCAAATGCACAGGGAACTGAGGGTTTGTTGCTAATCATCCTTGGAGGAAGTCCAGATGAGAGATAGAATGGCATAAGTTGGACACCTTGATTCTGAATTATCTACTGCTTTCATCTAATCTTTCCCCCCCTAAACCATCCCCTTTAACCAATCCATCAACTGTTAGTGCAGATTTCCCTAACCAGTGTTGGTTATACTGGACATACACATTATAGCGTGGCCTGTTGAAAGAACATTAGTAGCACTTACACTTCTTCTGCTGGTAGTAAACAGAGCTGGGGTGGTGAGGGGGGCAGGCCAACTACCAATACAGCCTGGGCATAAAAGGCTTTGCTGAGCCTAGTACCAAGACAGGGTAAGATCTACTACCAACTAAACAGTATGTCCAATGTTGACAGTAGAAAAGGATAAGATATGAAGAAAGAGAGCAGAGTGCCCTGTTGAGAACATTGGTAACATTGCCCAAATATTACCTTGGGGTAATATTTCCTTTGTTAAATGCCCCAGCATAGCCCCAAGAGTCCAAGGTCCCAGCGAGTGCAGGTGATGCCCTCAGTAGCTTAAGGGAAGGCTCAAGCCCAGAATTAGTCCATGGATCCATGTTTTTAGAAAAAAAAAAAAATCCCACTTCAAAAGGAAGAGAGGAAACACTGAGGTTTACAAAGAACCACATTTATTTTCATTTACAGCATCAAATACCATAAATAAAGCTAAACAATGTTCAGGGTGTGCAAAATACAGGGTTCTGTGTGAACAGTTAATTACAGAACATGTCTCAAAGTCACCAAAGGTCATAAAATGAGTCACAGGAGGGTTGGGAAGCTAGAAAGGTTGCAGATGAGGAGGACAGAATCTTTGGTTGGCATTCTTTAGAGAGAAGAGGATTCTGCAACGGAAGAGAAGTGAGAGGAAGGTAGCACCAGCTGACAGTCTGAAAAGGCGGAACGAAGCCAAACGCCCATCCAGGGCTAACATGCATGTCTTCAAAGGACCTTGGAAACAGTGATGTATTTCCCAGCAAGGATAGGCAGGGACAGGTATTCACACAAAGCAGGGGTGAGGAAGGTCTGGCTCTCTGCCTTTAAGAGAACAGCTCAATTCATTTCAAAAAGAGCACATTCACATTGGTTGCTTTGCCATCACAAATAAATACATTGGCAGAGAAATGGCCTTTTGTAAGGACCTTGAGGAGCTTCCAGGCTTCTTAGCCCAGCCCAGCTGCTGCCAGATGTGGCCTGTGTCCTTGACAGCATTCCATTGACCTCTCAGGCCTGTTGTTCTGGACTGAGCTCTCTGAGCTATGGTGGAAAGCTCCACTCATGGCAAAGCCTTATGTCCATGAAGAAAGTACATGGAATCCCCAAGGCCCCTTATGTGGCTTAGGAAGATGGCTAAGATGGGACTACAATTATTTGAAGACAGCTTCAAATTACAGAGTACTTCTTGGCTGGCATATATAAACAAAATATGCTACGGAAAAGTCACCTACAGTTTTGGTCAAGGACACCAAAAGTCTTTTAATTCAAGCCAGTTTTCAGTTGGAAAACTTGTTTCTACAGTTGTATAGAGGCTTCTCAAAAAGCTAGGCCTTTCTGAACAATGGTAGAGAACTCGCTACTGACCTTGTCTCACACAGGCAGAGTTAGTACCTTCAAGGAAGGTGGGTTGGTTGTGGTATTAGAACATGGCCAGCTGTATTGAGAAAGCATGCAAAAACATTGACATGCAGTGCCAGAGGGGCTGGGGAAGGGAAGCATTGTTCCAAAACAAGCAAATGGTCTTGAATCCCACCCTCTACCATGCTATTAATTGGCCACACCCCAGCATTCATTCATTCATTACAAGACGAGGCACTCTAGTCTGTTACCATCAACGCTCTTGGGGGAAGGAAGGAGGGATAAAGCTGCCCTTGAAGTGTATTTGGGGTTAATAGTGGGTGCTCACAATTGGCAAGAAGACCAGTCACCTCTGAGCGGAAAGGTGTCAGCCAAGGATAGGTGGTAACACTGGAATGTTGTAAAGAACTGAAGACAGGAGTGAGACATTGGAAAGAGAGAAAGAAGAGAGAGTTTAGTTGAGGCGGGGGTGAAGAAAACAAAAGCGGTTTAGAAACGCTGGAAATCATTAGAAAAGGGAAATTTCCTCCAAGTCAAACTTTACTATTTCTTCAAGATATGAACCTTTCTGATGAATAGAAGCTCCTGGAGGGTAGGCATCATCTCATTATCTGCCCCTGCAAGTCCAGCACCTTACAACAATGCTTAGTATACAAAAAGTGCTTAATAAATGTATGTTAAATAAATAGATATTAAGCTCTCAGCTCGAACCTCAAATGATACATAAATACTGCATATTATTGATACCAGCACATGGTAGTTGTAAGATGCCAACAAAAATCTTCCCCAATATCCCTCTGGAATTAATATTTTGGCAATACTTTTTTTACTTATTTCCATCTGTGTTCTGAACTCTAAAGTATCCCACCCCACCCCAAATATACCTAGAATATTTCCTGCTTCCTCACCAGTAGGTTCATTTCTTGGAGTGAACATACATTACAGGGTCTTGTAATTCTCACTACATCATTATTTCCCATCTTGTCTTTTGGCTCAGTATTTGACAGTTTAGAATTGCTCTCTTATTGCTATAAATGAGACTTGGGGAAAAAAAA